GCTGTTTTCTAAATCAAAATTGAAAATTAGACAAAAACTAAATACATACACTTACCTGCTCAAACCCATTTGGACATACGCCTCACAGATTTACGGTTCAGCAAAAAAGATTCACTTACAAAAACTACAATCCTTTCAATCTAAAATTTTAAGACTAATAACTGCAGCTCCCTGGTACGTCAACAATACCGACCTAAGACAACCAACCATTGACCAGCACATACGTACTCTTTACTCCCGATTTCATCTAAAACTACACGGACATCACAATGGACTTATCAAAGACATGGCCACGGCTGAAATGCTCATCAGGAGGCGACTGAAAAGGAGCTGGATGAGAGATCTCCTTTCCTGATTTTAGGGTGTAAACCGGCCAGGGAAGAGGTGCTGCTGGGCTCCATTCTTCGTCATGCCTATCATGTCATTTTCAACTTGACACCAATCTGCTAATTGTCACTACCATGACAGGTGCGGATGAAGATGTAAAGACAAAAAAAAAAATAAAAAATAAAAAAAATGAAAGAATAAATGTAAACGGTTTGAATTTACACTGTTACCCATTTTTGCCGAACATATCTGTTTTTCTAAACTTTTTTTTTACTGACTACCAACTGACTAGTACTTACTACCATTTTAGTACTAAAAAAATATTAATGCTTAATCTTTGTTCATTTTTTTTTTAATTCTCTATATACCTAATACGTTTGAAGATTAAGTCTATTTCATCTGCAATATTGTTTAGCGATTTTATTCAGTTTAGATTGTTTTATTTTAAATTATGTTTAATTTACCGAATTTTTACTATTTAAGAAGTATTTTAAAACGATTCTTGACAGTCGGATCCATGCATGTTAATAATAATATGCTCATGTGATTGTAAGAATTTGGAGATTTTTTGTCTGAAATATCTTATTATAACACTAATGTTTTTAGCAATAGTTAAACGATTGCCTGAAAAATAAAAATACACGAAAAAAATATTCTATACTATAAAACGGCAATCAAAGGCGAAAAAGTGGAAAACGATGCACCTTCTTTCAGTTATGATTTTCTTTTTTTTTTTTTTCGCCCAAGATAGAATATTGAGAGACCAAGAGCTGCCAAGGGGCCCTTTGGCCTTAGATGCTCGAAAAATAATAAGATCAAAGACCTCTGTCCGACCCAACTCAGCTTTCTCACTTCCAAGTTCTCTTTAAGCATTACTCAGTGCGCAAAGAACACGAGTTTGATAAATCTCACTCGGTCACAATTAAATACCTTCAAAAAATCACTGAAATAAAATGAAAATTATTTTTTTTTAATGAAAAAATTAATTTAATAACTGAACTATAGACGGCCACATTGGAAACATTCTATTAGAGTAAAAAATTGAAATTTTTCATAAAATGAAATAAGACACGTATTCATCATTATATGAACAATATTTATCCTTATATGTTTACTGAATGCTTGAGACAAAGGTGTAATGTTTTACATCATGTTTTTGTTTACTTACAATGAACAGACGACTGGTCTGGAAATCGCACGTGACTACATTAAAAAAGGGATTGAACCATCGACTGTCAGTACTATTCGTCTTAGTGGCTACACCATAAAAATAAACTAACATTCTAAAAAAATTACTATTTACTACATGCTACGCAGATCAATATGGACGTATGTTTCTCAGGTGTTTATGCTAAAAAAAACAAAAAAAAACTGGTGCGGTGCGCGCATCACACAACTTTTACTTATCACCCTCATCGTAGCAGAAATAAGTATTTTCAGACAAAGAGAAAGTGAAAGTAAAAATTATAAAAGCTATATTTATTTATATTTGATTGTGGGTATTTATTATTGTTCGTGTCAGTACCCGTATATATATACAATTAAATAATATTAATAATAGCATAAATGAAAACCGTGTATGTAGATTTACATTGAACTGCTGGAGTTCGTATTATATTAAGCTCAAGTTACTACAAGCCAGTTCTAATCCTTCGGGGGCGATCGTATTCACTTGGTTTCTTAATTACAACTATTCTCCATTCCGATATCTTTAGTTAACTATTAAATTCTTTTATGTTTTTTAGTTAACTAGAACTCAATGTGAAATGGTCAATTATATTAAATTAAAAAAAAATTAAGGTATTTTAGGGGAAGCTAATATTGAAAATTAGCTAATGATGTAACTTAATGAATTATTTAAAATAATTTGCAGAATATCTGGAAGAATAACCATGGATATCTGCTGAAGAACGAAGAGTCGCCAACATGTTCCTACTGTGGGTGTATTCTAACAGTGCTTCACGAACTAACGGAGTGTATGGCTCACGACTTCTACAGAATTTCCAAATTCCCAGCACAAATATTTAGAAAGGACCCAGACACGACTGTACGACTAATTATTTATAAACAAATGACTAAAGATACTTCAGTGTGAATGACTCTGGTGTTCGAAAAACTCAAAATACCAAAAAACATACTGTTATTTAAGAATCTTGGTCTGTGACCACCAAAACCCTACTTACTAAATTAAGTGCCAAGGAGTATTGGGTACAGTTTTGCCAGGGCATGGTTCTGACAGTCGTCCTATTAGCGAAAAGGATTTAAGGGATAAAAGAAGTATCCGTGTTTTACTGAAGAATCACGCGGCTATATCCATAGTATCGGCCTTCATTACTTTTTAACACAAGAAAAAAAAAAGGAGTCTTTCTATGTATTTGAATAATTTTTCTTATAAATGTACAGTTAAAGGGATGACAGTTTTTCCTCTTTGTAAATTAAAGATTAAGGCCTACAGTGATTATTTTGCACAAAGATGCTTTTTTATTGTCAATGCGATTTTTTTTTATAAGGAGTACTTTAGGTTTGGTTGTGGAATACATTTTGGGTATGTGTAATACAGGTAAATTTTTGTTTTTGTTTTTCGATGTCCTGTAACATATTTTATTAGTGCCTTTATAAATTGTAATTGTTAATAGAACTCATGTTCAGGTTTTGTTCTTCTATTTTTAACTGTGTGAAAAGGAGCATTTATATGTAATATATTTATAAATTTAATTTATTTCTAGATATTGTATTAATTTTAAGTTGTGATTTAATTTGAAATTGTAAAATCAATAATAACATTTAACTAGCGATAAGGATTAAAAGGTACGATGTATTGGAGCTAACGGACGGGAGGTCCTTCTCTGTCAAAGGTTGAATTGTAAATGACTAGTGGTATGGTGTTTTGGAGGATGCGCGTGGCGCCCTCTAGGCGTTGTTCTAATGAACTATTTTATTCATTTATGCAAGTCATTGTTTTTCTAATAATGATTAATAATTTAAGTAGCGCAACCTGTTAATTGCCTAGTGAACTATATATTTCATTTTAAAACTATTTATTATTTCCTTTTGTAATTAATGCTTTTGTAAATAACTAATGTTTGTAATATTTTTAAAATAAGTATTCATGAAATATAATTAAATAAAAATAAAAGGAGTTTGGACTTAGAGATCTCAGGGCCTAATTAAAATAATTGTTACTAGTGTTGTCTCTCACAGGTCTGAGGGCTCACTATTAGTATAAATAGCAGCCTGGCCCCTAGGGCAGGCACTCTCTCCCGAGTCACTACCTTCTCACATAGGCTCCTGGTATCTCTCTGTCTGACAGTTTGAAACCAGACCAATGTGTTATTTTTTGGTTTTACCTTCCTCCTTCTCTCTTCTCTCCTAACCTACCTCCTCTCTCCTTTCGTAGGAATAACTTGGTTGGCCCTTGTTTTCCTACAGTCCCCCTTGCATCTTCCAGGTTGTCCCTGGGAGTGTAGGGTTACCTATCCTCGCAACGTCAGGGGATTGCCTCCTCGGTTGCAGAGCCCTGGATGTGTAGGGGTTGTCCCCCTATCATTCTTGGCGGTCTTACCTTATCCTATCCTCGCAACGTCAGGGGATTGCCTCCTCGGTTGCAGAGCCCTGGATGTGTAGGGGTTGTCCCCCTATCATTCTTGGCGGTCTTACCTTATCCTATCCTCGCAACGTCAGGGGATTGCCTCCTCGGTTGCAGAGCCCTGGATGTGTAGGGGTTGTCCCCCTATCATTCTTGGCGGTCTTACCTTATCCTATCCTCGCAACGTCAGGGGATTGCCTCCTCGGTTGCAGAGCCCTGGATGTGTAGGGGTTGTCCCCCTATCATTCTTGGCGGTCTTACCTTATCCTATCCTCGCAACGTCAGGGGATTGCCTCCTCGGTTGCAGAGCCCTGGATGTGTAGGGGTTGTCCCCCTATCATTCTTGGCGGTCTTACCTTATCCTATCCTCGCAACGTCAGGGGATTGCCTCCTCGGTTGCAGAGCCCTGGATGTGTAGGGGTTGTCCCCCTATCATTCTTGGCGGTCTTACCTTATCCTATCCTCGCAACGTCAGGGGATTGCCTCCTCGGTTGCAGAGCCCTGGTGTGTAGGGGTTGTCCCCCTATCATTCTTGGCGGTCTTACCTTATCCTATCCTCGCAACGTCAGGGGATTGCCTCCTCGGTTGCAGAGCCCTGAATGTGTAGGGGTTGTCCCCCTATCATTCTTGGCGGTCTTACCTTATCCTATCCTCGCAACGTCAGGGGATTGCCTCCTCGGTTGCAGAGCCCTGGATGTGTAGGGGTTGTCCCCCTATCATTCTTGGCGGTCTTACCTTATCCTATCCTCGCAACGTCAGGGGATTGCCTCCTCGGTTGCAGAGCCCTGGATGTGTAGGGGTTGTCCCCCTATCATTCTTGGCGGTCTTACCTTATATACCTTATCCTTCTCATCCTATCTAAGCTTATACACCCCATTCTTACAAACTTAAATAGATACACGAATACTAGGTTAATTGACTAACAGAAAGATTAAAGGTTAGAAGGACAGATTTCAGATTTTAAAAGACAAACGTCGGCAATAACATACAGACAGACAGAGAGATAAATAAATGTAAAAATAAAAATATTACATTTTGGCATCCCTTGTAAAGGAACGATTAAAATAACCGACTCTTTGGGTTAGAAATGGATAACATAAACGAACCAGTTACCGAAGAAATGTCTCAAGATTATGAGAAAGAACAAGAAAAAAGGGAACAAGTAATGGAGGCTTATACAGAAGAAAGCTCAGTAACAGAGCACTATTATTTGAGATCCAGGAAGGATAAGACAGGAGCCAGAAGCATCCAGAGTACAGTTCAGGAGGAAGAAGGTCAAACAAAGACACAACTTGGAAAAACAGAGATGTGGATGGAAATGATGTTTGCTAAACTGTCAAAACAATTAAGAACCGAAATAGAACAACAATCAGAAAGATTCAAGGAACAGGCTTTAGAATCAAGAAGCGAGATGAGACAACTGATATCAGAAGAATTCAGAAATCAGTCTGAAAAATTGAACGAAAAACTAGAAGATGTTACAAATAATATAGACCTAGTAGCAAGGAAACTAGGAAGAAGGATGGAAGAAATACAGTCTGATTTGACCAACCGGATTGAGAAGAATGAAGACAGGCTGAATAACATAGAACTTGACTTTGAGACAAAACTGACCACTTCGGTTGAACAGAATAAAATAGAAAATACAGAAAAATATGAAAACCTAAGAATACATGTTAACAAAGTAAATGAGGAGATAAAGGGAGACTTAAATACCCATGAGGAAAAAATAGAAGCTCTAAGCAAAAGAATTAACATCTTAGAGAAGAACAGACCTATAGAGGTTGTGAATATGGAGCCAAGAACTCCTAATATACAACGGACTGATACTAACTGCCCGCCAAGTATAATAGCCAGTAATGGTGGTGTCTCAGACATGTTCCAAGCGCTGAACTCGACGTTGATTCAGCAAAATAAAGGGATAAACCAGAAACCTTTATTCTTTAGGAACAGTAAGAAGGATATTCCTACAGAATTTAATAACTCTCTAAGATCACAATATCAATTATGGGGACACACACTAATATTTCAGGACTTCATCAGACAGCACCTAAGAGATGAGGCATTAGTATGGTGGCTGATGCACGAAACTGAAATAAATGAAATAGACAGTTTCAGTGAAAAATTTTTAAGTAAATTTTGGAGAGGAAAATATGATCCTATTTTCTGGGAAGAATTGAATCATGGAAGTTACTTCTACCACACAAATATAAGTCCGCAGCAGTACTTCTGCAATATGATACTAAGAGCTCGGGCATGTGAACATAAGCTTGACGAGGAATTCATCTGTAAATCTATGGTAAGACATTTTGGGAACACTATCGAAGAAATAATGTTATACCAAGGCATTAATAGTATTGATGGATTTTTGGAGGTTCTAAACCGTTTTGGGAGAGAAAGAATTCTTAAGGAAAATAATTCCTACCAGAGGCCTTCGGCTAGATATCTTGAAGATAAAGAGCCACCTCAGATGAAAACTAATCAACAGGTGAAGGACCAAGGAAATAACCTGCCTTCAAGACCTTATAATGAAAAAATGAACACCAGTCAGTACAACACTGGTTTGCGACCTTATGGTAAAAACTACTCAAACCCAGTACAGAGAAAAAACTTTGATAGAAGCCAGAATTGGAATCAGCCCAATCCTCAAGTGAACAAAATTACCTTAGTAAGGGAGAAAAATAATCAAGAACCTGTCAACAGCTATCAACAGAAAACATATCCTGATGAACAGGCAAGACAGAATATAAATAATCAGACTTTCGAAGAGAACTACAGGGCAGCAATTGCTAAACAGCCTGTACAGGCCGAAGAGGAAGATGACATAAATATTGCTTATATACCAGAAGATAGTCATGAGGACTGACAATTAAGAAACAAGGGCTCGGTAGACCACATTCAAACTATATCTTTACCTACCGAACCTTCTCAACCCATCACAGAAAATGAAGAACCAACTATTGAAGAATATGAGTATCCAAAATTAGATACAACACAAAATCCGAAGAAGGTTCAAGCCTTAGTAAATTCAGGCTATAAAACAGTCAGTTTAAGCCAGGAAGCCCGTAAAATAGAGTTGGAGCACACTGGACTAGAGAAACTACCAGTACCTAACACTGTAGCAGAGACGACTACTAGATGGTCTAAGCCTATGAGGGAGAAAATAACTACGGATGTAATTCTACCTAACCACGCCATCAACGACGAAGGCAGAATAATCCAAGAAGAACTAGAAGATCCTAGAAGCTATCTCCGCGGTAAAGTAAAAATAAAATGACTATGATAAAGCCGATAGTCTCAATCGGGTACAGACCAAAAGGACTTTTTTTAAAGGAAATTTTTCGTGACTAATGATCTTTGTAATAAAACACACTGCTTACTTGTGAGATAAAAGATATGACTTTTTTTTTAATAGCGACTTTTGTAACTGAAAACTATTGTTAACTAATTTTATACTTGTTTAAAAGAATGTTTGATGAAAGAGTAAATAATAATTTGTAATAATTTTAACGATTATATCTCTAAATTTTTTTTATGTGACAATTATAGTTTAAAAAAAAAAAAATGTTTAATAATCATTTTTTTTTTAAACACAGGAAAGGGTAAATGTAACATATTTTATTAGTGCCTTTATAAATTGTAATTGTTAATAGAACTCATGTTCAGGTTTTGTTCTTCTATTTTTAACTGTGTGAAAAGGAGCATTTATATGTAATATATTTATAAATTTAATTTATTTCTAGATATTGTATTAATTTTAAGTTGTGATTTAATTTGAAATTGTAAAATCAATAATAACATTTAACTAGCGATAAGGATTAAAAGGTACGATGTATTGGAGCTAACGGACGGGAGGTCCTTCTCTGTCAAAGGTTGAATTGTAAATGACTAGTGGTATGGTGTTTTGGAGGATGCGCGTGGCGCCCTCTAGGCGTTGTTCTAATGAACTATTTTATTCATTTATGCAAGTCATTGTTTTTCTAATAATGATTAATAATTTAAGTAGCGCAACCTGTTAATTGCCTAGTGAACTATATATTTCATTTTAAAACTATTTATTATTTCCTTTTGTAATTAATGCTTTTGTAAATAACTAATGTTTGTAATATTTTTAAAATAAGTATTCATGAAATATAATTAAATAAAAATAAAAGGAGTTTGGACTTAGAGATCTCAGGGCCTAATTAAAATAATTGTTACTAGTGTTGTCTCTCACAGGTCTGAGGGCTCACTATTAGTATAAATAGCAGCCTGGCCCCTAGGGCAGGCACTCTCTCCCGAGTCACTACCTTCTCACATAGGCTCCTGGTATCTCTCTGTCTGACAGTTTGAAACCAGACCAATGTGTTATTTTTTGGTTTTACCTTCCTCCTTCTCTCTTCTCTCCTAACCTACCTCCTCTCTCCTTTCGTAGGAATAACTTGGTTGGCCCTTGTTTTCCTACAGTCCCCCTTGCATCTTCCAGGTTGTCCCTGGGAGTGTAGGGTTACCTATCCTCGCAACGTCAGGGGATTGCCTCCTCGGTTGCAGAGCCCTGGATGTGTAGGGGTTGTCCCCCTATCATTCTTGGCGGTCTTACCTTATCCTATCCTCGCAACGTCAGGGGATTGCCTCCTCGGTTGCAGAGCCCTGGATGTGTAGGGGTTGTCCCCCTATCATTCTTGGCGGTCTTACCTTATCCTATCCTCGCAACGTCAGGGGATTGCCTCCTCGGTTGCAGAGCCCTGGATGTGTAGGGGTTGTCCCCCTATCATTCTTGGCGGTCTTACCTTATCCTATCCTCGCAACGTCAGGGGATTGCCTCCTCGGTTGCAGAGCCCTGGATGTGTAGGGGTTGTCCCCCTATCATTCTTGGCGGTCTTACCTTATCCTATCCTCGCAACGTCAGGGGATTGCCTCCTCGGTTGCAGAGCCCTGGATGTGTAGGGGTTGTCCCCCTATCATTCTTGGCGGTCTTACCTTATCCTATCCTCGCAACGTCAGGGGATTGCCTCCTCGGTTGCAGAGCCCTGGATGTGTAGGGGTTGTCCCCCTATCATTCTTGGCGGTCTTACCTTATCCTATCCTCGCAACGTCAGGGGATTGCCTCCTCGGTTGCAGAGCCCTGGGTGTGTAGGGGTTGTCCCCCTATCATTCTTGGCGGTCTTACCTTATCCTATCCTCGCAACGTCAGGGGATTGCCTCCTCGGTTGCAGAGCCCTGGGTGTGTAGGGGTTGTCCCCCTATCATTCTTGGCGGTCTTACCTTATCCTATCCTCGCAACGTCAGGGGATTGCCTCCTCGGTTGCAGAGCCCTGAATGTGTAGGGGTTGTCCCCCTATCATTCTTGGCGGTCTTACCTTATCCTATCCTCGCAACGTCAGGGGATTGCCTCCTCGGTTGCAGAGCCCTGGATGTGTAGGGGTTGTCCCCCTATCATTCTTGGCGGTCTTACCTTATCCTATCCTCGCAACGTCAGGGGATTGCCTCCTCGGTTGCAGAGCCCTGGGTGTGTAGGGGTTGTCCCCCTATCATTCTTGGCGGTCTTACCTTATATACCTTATCCTTCTCATCCTATCTAAGCTTATACACCCCATTCTTACAAACTTAAATAGATACACGAATACTAGGTTAATTGACTAACAGAAAGATTAAAGGTTAGAAGGACAGATTTCAGATTTTAAAAGACAAACGTCGGCAATAACATACAGACAGACAGAGAGATAAATAAATGTAAAAATAAAAATATTACAGTCCAGAAAACGCTGGAAGTAGACCAAATGTTGCTTTTTTACACAAATATTTATTTTATCTTGAAAGAGATATCTTCAGCTATATGTTTTATTGATTTCGATAAAACATTTATTAATATTTGTTTTACATTTTGACACAGTTATGGCAATGTACAATTTGTTTAACGTTTGGTTAACTTTTTTGACCGATTGTAATATGAAGATTGTTGTAATAACTATAGATGCTACGGTGCCTTATTAGTTATAGGCGATTAAAATATTCCCGGATTATATTTCTTTGGTTATATAATACAATGAAACTGATTTGAGACCATATCGGTGTAATTTTTCTAAGAAAATTATGGTATTTACCAATGGTATTAACCGTACCCAGTTGTGACAAATATCATTTTACAAAAAGTATACCGAAAATCAAGGATACCTTTCTAACGATTCCACAATAGTGCACAATCATACCGGAATGGGGCAACTGAGTGATAGAGCACTGACTTCTAATGCTCAAGTCCCCAGGCACGAATCCATAAATTAAATCCGTAATGTTTTTTTTTTTAATTTTATTTTATTGAGATTTACAACTGTATTACATGGAAAATACAATAAGTAAATGTGACATTGGTAACATGACATGTACAACATGAAGAGAAACTACCCATTGGTAGAACTCAAATTAAAGTTCTATATTAGAAGGACCCGAGGCCATCTTCTTTTCAGACGCCTAGGAGGATTATCAGGGATCGAGGAGGAAGCAAGGTTTGAAACGAGAGGATTCGGATGGTTCTGCAGTTTGTTATGGAAGGATAGATATCTGGATTGGGCCAAATCGCAAACATTTGGAATTATGGAGGGGGGATCCTTAATAATGGGATGTATTTAATTTCATCTAAAGCAGAATGTCAAATACATCTGTATTACCATAGATTATAAATTAAACTGGGGACCACATTTGACAGAGGTTAAAAAAAAACCATAATAGCCTTCTGGCAGGTAAAACGTGTTGTAGGAGTGACTTCAGGTTTCAAGCCTGAAGTCATATATTGGATATATACGGCAATAATATATTCCTGATCAGAGCACACGCTCCGATAGATGATACGGATGAAGAAGAAAAATATTTGTATTATGGAGCACTAGAAGGAGCATATGATAACCTATCCAAGTATGATGCTAAAATTTTAGTGGGTGATTTTAATGCCAAAATCCGAAAGAAAAGTGCTTTTATTCTTACTACTGGAAAATATTACAATCATGAAATAAATAATGGAATCGGAATGATTGCTTTTGCTACAGCTATGGGACTTAGAATACTACATGTTTCATACATAAATAAACCCACAAAGAAACTTGGACGTCGCCAGAGGTAAACACCAGAAATCAAATCGATCATGTCTTAATAGATGGAAGGCACAAATCACATATATTAAACGTCCGAAGTTTCAAAGGGGTTAACTGTAACACGGATCATTTCTTGGTAATAACTAAATACAAACAGAGAATATCTAACGAGTCCAAAAACAGAAAAGAAACGAGGAGTGTGTTATGGATACGTGGATGGCCTAAAGAATGAGAGAGTGAAAGATGCGTTTGAAAGGAAGATCACTCAAAGATTAAATGAAAGCAATGTAGAAGAGCATACCGTCGAAGAGCGATGGCGGTAAATAAGGACGGTGTTGAATGCGGTTGCTGTGGAAGTACTAGGATATAAACAGAGGAAAGAAAGAAAGGGATGGTTTGATGAAGAATTTATTCAAGCTATTGAAGAGAGGAATGACGCGAAAGCAATATATTTGAAGAAGACAAATAGAGCAACAAAGAAAATTAAATAATACAAAGAAAAATACTCAAAGAAATTCGCCGAAAAAAAAGAAGGCTTGGGAAAGCAAAATCATAAAATACATACAAGAGCAGTATTCAGCACAAGAAACTAGGAAATTTTAAAAAGAAGTAAGAAATTCATGAACCAGTTTCGAACCGCACATAAGCTATTGTCAAGATAAAAGGGGAAACGTTCTGGGACCCAGAAAAAACTTAAATAGATGAACGGAATACTTTTCCGAATTATTAAATCAAGGAAACATTTACCTTATTAACGAAGAAGAAACGCATAGAAATATAAAACAAATATGTGAGGACGAGGAAATACCGCCGGAAAAAGAAGAAATAGGAGAAATAATTATTTCTTTAAAGAACAACAAATATCCAGTTGTGGATGAAATAACTGTAGAGCTACAAAAAGAATGGAGGAGAGGAATTACCAAAGCAGCTCTACAACCTCATATACATGATCTGAATGCAGCAAACTATACCTGATTAATGGAACACAGCAGTGCTACGTCCTATTTTAAAAAAATGAAGACAAGTTAAACTGCGATAACTGAAGAGGAATAGCACTACTACCAACTGAAACTAAGTCCTTTCCATTGTTATTCGTAACAGACTAGACGTCATGGGAAGAAAGAATTTGCGGAGATTATCAATGTGGTTTCAGGAAAAATAAGTCAACAGTGGATCACTTTTTTGCTGTAAAACCAATGCTAGAGAATACATACGAACATAATGTGGATCTACACCAGGTCTTTATAGATTTCAAGCAGGTGTATGGTTCTATAGGCCGATAGGAATTACAGAAATTTATGAGAATGCTGGGAATTCCTGACAAATTTATTGTCTTGAAACACAGAGATGACACTAAGGGATATCAAATGTAAAGTCGAGATTTAATATGTCCTCTCAAACAGCTTTAAGATAAAATAGGGTTGAAGCAGGGAGACCCTATATCGCCAATCCTCTTTAATCTATCCCGGAGCGGGCTGTTAGAACAACAATGACTAATCCTGGAAGGACTATATTGAATAGATTTACACAAAGTCTTGCATGCGCGGACGTTCTTATCAGCGCTCGTACATTGTCGGCCCTTCCGAGATCTATCGAAGAATTCTGACATATAGCAATGCAACTTGGCCTGAGGATAAATGAAAGAAAAAGTTTTTATACGAAGTCTCCAGAGAATAATGTAGATATTCAAATTAATCAACACATTTTTTTTCCAATGGAAACAGAATTTAAATACCTCGGGGTGATAGTGATTGACCAGAACAAAATGCAGGCCGAAATAAAGGCCAGAAGCTGGCAATAAGTTTTTTTATGCCCTGGCGAAAGTACTAAAATCCTAAAATACTGACCTGGAATACAAAAGTGATAATTTGTAAAACTATTATAAGGCCAGGTGTTACCTATGGGTGTGAAACATGCGTTTTAACTCAGAAAAGTGAGTGGTTGCTGATAATGGAAGAAAGTTCTAAGGAATATATACGGTTTGAAGAAAATAAATGACCAGTGGTGAATATGGAAAAATAACGAGCTCTATGAGCTGTATAAAAATGACGATATTGTAGCCACTGTCAAAAGGAGCCGGCTGGGATGGCTGAGCCATGTAGAGAGCATGCAAAAGAATAGGTTGCCTAGGAAACTTCTCTGTAACCGTCAATAAGGAGCCTGTCTTAGGGGAAGACCCCGGTATATCAACGACGTGGAGGAGGACCTCAGCCGCATGGGTATCAGATGATGAGGAAGAATAGCTGCCGATAGGGAAGCTTGTAGTGGACGCCCAGGTCCAGAAAGAACTGTAGAGCAAATTAATAATAATAATAATTAGACTTTGAATGCAATATAGAATTGTGGTGTCGTGAGTAGCCCTAAATAATGATTCTCATATGCGAATTTAATGCCGCATACAATGGAAAGAATGGTCTGCATTAGTATTAAAGGGTCATTTCGCACAACATTTACAAAGGCTCTGGAAATCTTATTGTACTTAAACCCTCTACATTTATGGATAATAGGTGAAGTGGTCATAGCATTTAACAAACAGTGCCATGTAACAAGGAAACATAGAAACAGCCAGAATGTTGAGGAAAGTGTTACCTATTTTAAGGTACCTTTCTCCACCGCTTGCCAAACGCCTTATTCTAGATACTAAGGATAGCTACCTGTATCCTAATATAAATGATCGGGAACAAGGTTCAATAGAAACTTAGAAGAATTATCTGTTTCACTGACAGATCAAGGAAAGACTCAACCGGTATAACATGTGCAGGAGTCTATATAGAGAATTTAAATATAGAATCAAGCATACCATTAGGCAAACATGCTACACTATAATTGTTTAGAAGTTATTAATTGTGAGAGTGCTGTCATATTCCTATCTATTCGGATAGTCAGTTTGCACTTCAACCCCCCACTTAGAATCTCCCAGAGTGACCTTCACAATGGTACGGGAGTTAAAACAGACTTTGGAGACACTGGCTTGCTCTAAGAGAGTGGAACTAGTGTGGGACCCAGCTCACAAGAGAATTAAAAGCAATGAAAAAGCCGATGCCCTCGCAAGGAAAGTATAGAATTTTCTATTATAGGTCCGGAATCTGCAATAAGAATATCCAAGAAACATTAGCAAAAAGAAGTTCTTGATGGGATTTGCAAAAG